AAGCGAACTCGTGCTTATAAATACTCTATTCTAGTCATTTGATATATGTAAGGATTTATCTAGCTTAAGAATGACCGAATCAAAATACAAAACATAATTTGGTGTCCAACTATTGAAGTTCCATCGAATCACATATTATAATACGAAAAATAAAATTTACTGGAATTTGTATTTCCGACACCTTACTTTACTTTAACTTATCATTATATTTTATGGTTGAATAATAAGTTTAAAATGAAAAAAACAGAAATAAAATCAATAATTTAAACTCACTTATGCTTGACTTTATATCATCTGATATACACTAAATCGGCATTATGAAGCTGTCTGAAAGTTCTTCGGCTTTCTCATTATTGAAATGGAAAGGAGCAAGACAATCAAAATATCACATCCACGTATTCTATAAGAAATATGGAATACATTTTAGAACTGCAAAGCACTCACTATCGTCTATTAAGAAATTCAGAATGGGGAATTGAAGTGAAATAAGATAAGATATAAATGGTTGTGACAAATTGTTATCATTTCAGCACGATGAGAGACATTGGCACACTTTGGTCAATAAACACTGTCAAAGTCACGAGTAAGAGATACTATGCTAATTTACAATTCAAATAATGCCTAACATGATATAACTATATCCATGAAAAAAATTATAATTGTGACTTTTCCTATAGTTAGAAATGGAGAATGAGACAGCTTTCAAAGTTGAATTTTAACATACGGTCTTAAATGTATGAATAAAATTTTTGTGTTTATAAGTTACTGCCATACGATGATCGTGAAGTCAAAAACATTTTGAAACTCAAAACAATAACTTATTTTGAGAACCAATTTATTCTCTATATCAGTTGCTAGAACTTGACTAAAGCCAACTTATTTGGGCATGACAAATTAGTCGACCCGAACTGAAAGCTTATTTATGTCGTCAAAGAATCCACTTGGATCTTTCAACAGGAAAGAATTCGAATAATTATTATCATTCATGTTATAGAATTGATCTAGAGAAAATTTCAAAAAGACATAATATAATCATTATAATGCAAGCAAAACAGAGAGCAAATACCTGACTTCTATTTTTTTTGAAAGTCATCCTTTTCTGACGTCAACAGCTGTAAGCGACGTGATAAAATTTATTTTGAAGATCAGATTATTGTAAGCCTTGTTGTTAACAATGCATGATATAGAATAAAAAGCGACGCGTTTTATTCAATTAACTCTGGTGCTATATTAATAATGTATGAAGAAGTAAAATTTAACATAGAGACAGAGCTCGTATTGTTGAAAATAATCTTTTTCTCAAAAATTGAATAGATTCCAAAGTTACATAATGATATCTATTAGTTGGCTAACCATTATACTATTGATCATTAGTGATATCTCAGGTAAAGACTAATTTCTTTCAATACATGATTTTGAAATAAAGCATTATTACTTCTGTTATATGATAGATCAATTTATTAAAATTAGAAACACTATTAGAACAAAAAAAAACAGAGTTACTTAGGTAGATTAGTATAATAATCTCAAACAGTCGTAGATTGACGTTTATGATGATGTAAATGTACATAAACGCTGAACATTCAACTGTATATGACTCGTGTTTACTATTTGGTAGGAATATATTTCAGTCTAAGGTCATCGTATCGTATACAGCGATCTATGTGAATAGTGTACAATGATGTTTACGTTCTCAAAACAGTCATGATACTGATCACTACGATAGTATGCGCTAACGTTTGCAACCGCACTTGTGCGTTTTAAAAAACAGTACACGACTGTAGTGGATTCAAATAGTGACCAACTATAAAACCTCTCATCTACATCTTAAAATCTATTGCTTTATCACTGTACTCTACATCTATAGATTTACATCTTTATTTTTGAATCGCTTCTAATATACCTAAACGTTTTATCACGTATACTAGATGAAGAACTGAATCATATATGTCGAGCAACAGTAGTCTATAATGTAGTTTCAATCAAGTCATTGTATTGTATTGAATCAATAGAGATCATTGAGGTTAACGATATTTTACGAACGAATGATGATTGAAAACGATGATTTTTCAAGATAATATTTAAAATTGACGTATGTGATGCTTTAAGATAGTATCCAAACTTCACTTTTAATATTGTTATGCTAGTCGCTAATGACGACTTTTCATAATGATTGTTTACCGTCGCTGTAGTATACTGTAGTGCTTCGTTTATGGTGACTCTCAACAGCAGTGAGAACGATTGCTGTTTTTCATCTTAGTTAAGCAGTATTCGCTGATTAACAATCATAAGTGATTGAACTAAATATCGACATCACATATTTGTGCATATGTTGAACTCTTACTCAACGTACTATGTTTTACTAAACTAACTTTCTACAACAAGAAAACGAAAAAAAACCATCCAGATTAATTCTTAAAGGAATATAATGCGAAGCATGATGTTGTCACTTCCATGATAAAATTGATATCTTCATGAAACATCAAATCCCAGAAGTCTGTGATAATGAGAAGTGTTCAGAAGCATTGCATTCGATATCAGTACTTATCAAAGTTGTACTTGTTTTCTATAGCTGCCTCGTACAATCTACCAAATGTCAGCTTTTGTGCATCGTGGAATGAAGATGCGATAACATTCGCTGATATGAATTTGGTTAGACAAAAACTTGCTGGCATTTTCATCGATGATCAAGGCACTGTCTATGTTGCCAATCAAGAAAGTGGCCAGATTTTAGTATGGAACAATGAATCGTCGACTTCGACTAGAATTATTTCGAAAAATTTGATTAATAAACGAAGTCTTTTTGTTACAACAAACACTGACATTTTTGTCAACAATGGTAACTCCAGTGATCGAGTTGATAAAAGGGCATTAAACGCAACGTATAGTGAGCTTGCAATAAATGCCCATAGCGTGTGTACAGGACTTTTCGTTGACATCAACTACAGTTTGTATTGTTCGATGAATAACAATTGTGTTATCAAGGTGACATTCAACAGTGACAAAACCTTACCAATTATAGTGACTAGTACGGAATGTTCTGGTCCTATGCCTAATATGCTGGGTCATTCGTATGGAATTTTCCTTGATAATAAACTGAGCTTATATGCAGCTAATACTTACAATAACAGAAATCAATTTTTCGCAGCGGGTCAAATAAATGCAATAACAAAGACCGATTTCGGAACAATGGTGCGCTTCAAACTTAGTAGATCTACAAGTGTCGTGTTCAATACTGACGTTTCTCTGTTTATTGTGGAAAATCAGAGTCATCAAATCATCCGATTGATTCTGAACAAATTTAAATGTTCGATTGGCTGCTTGTGTAACAGCGAAGCAACATCAAGACCACTGAATTATTCACAAAGAATAGCTTTCGATATAACTGACAATACATCTGTGAGCAATTTTAACAATCATAGAATTCAAAAATTTCAGTTAACTATAAATTCATGTGGTATGTTTATTTCTATCGTGATTGAGGGATTAGGAAATCGTTACACTGATTATTATTGTCTTTGCCAGAGACAAGAAGAATTATAGAAAGTAGCAAATACATTTGAAGTAACATAGGATTTAGAAATTGAAACTAAATTCGATCAGCGAAGAGCTCACTTATCCATGAAAGATGACCTACTATGGGGCATGGTTGATAAAACTCATGAATACAAATAGAGGAAGAAGAACATAAGTTCAGAGATAGCAATTTTTATTTCGGAAAGTGATGATTATGCTTCAAGACTCGCGGTTTTTACAATAATTGTTAACAATGTAGTAATATATAACATAAGTAGGAAGGTCAAAACAACAATTCTATTATAATTATAGAAAGAAACAAAGTCATATTGATTGATAGAATGCGATGCCACTCCAGATGACAGAATAACTGACGAATCCAAGAATTAGATCTTTATGAATTTTCTATGTCAGCCGACTATGTCAGCCGACTATCGAAACCGACGTCAACCAATCGAATGGTAAGATCTTACACGACCCATTGGAAATCGTATGAAAAATTGTTGTCTCTGAAATCTCATGCTAAATCAAATTATAAGAATCTTGGTAGATCTTGCTGTCTTGTAAGATATTACTATAAGAAGAGTGGTGTTTCTCGTTGCAATTCACTTGTCACTCGACTGAGAATGCAATTGTTCCTGTATGACATTATACTTTGCAAGTACACTTGATATTAATATTAGATGTGTCCAGTAGAGTTAATGTACGTGCTGCTCTCACTGTTCATGAGAATATCAAAGAGAATGCCACCATGTATACCGTATGGTGGCTCTCTTCAATGATTATTCCTTAGATTTCGTGACTTTCTTAGATTTGATAGATTTTTTGTTTCTCTTGTCTTCCTCGATTTCCTCCGCCTTCACGGATACCTCGAATTCCAAACAGTCTACTGATGTACGTATATAACTCTACTCTTTGTATTCCATGGATATCTAGAGTTCCATGAACTCCTTGGGTTTTCTGGACTCGTTGCCCTGTTGTGTAGACTTGAATTCTTTCGATTGCTTGGATATCCTCGATTTCTTCTGCTACTTCAGTTCTATGTATGCCTTGAATTTCTTGGATTTCTTCATTATATCGAACTCATTGAGCTGCTTCACCTAGTGATATTTCTTCAGTTCTATGGGCTCCTTCAATTCCGTAAATTTGTTGATCCCGCAGGACTCCTCCAGTTCTCTGAA